CTGCAGCCACACCGGGACCTCGCCACCGCCGTCACCTGCTTGTCTTAGGGGAAGGCAGCCGCCTTCATCTTCCAGCACTGGGCCTTCATCGTCCCCCCCATAGGCCTTCCTGCTCCCCTGGGAGCCGGGCAGCTTTGCCAGCGCAGGGGAGGTGTGAAGCGAGGGCAGCCACCGCAGGCCTGGCCGGGGGCAGAACGGGTGACAAAGCCACCCCGGGGCTGTTGCACAAGGCGCCGGCTCCGTCCCGTTCCGAGGATGCAGCTGAGCGGGGCAGACGGGGCGACGCGGTTTGGCCCAGAGCAGAGGCGAGTTTCAGGTGGAGGTGATGCCCTGCGCTAACCTGGAAGAGCTGGTTCTGCGCGGGAGGTTATCGGTTTCCAAACCCTTTTATCCAAGAAGAGCTTGAAAGGCGGCAGAGGAGCAGCGCCTTCAGGTCTCCTTCCCTCCTGCGTGCGGTCGAAGTGCCCCGGGTTGGCGTTACACCGCTGTCCAGGATGCATTTCACATAGCAGTAAATTACGAACCAGACCTTGCCGAGGAAATCCAAGCGGTCGCACATCGAAGGCAGAGCACGAAGTGGCACCTGTGGAAACAGAACATGAAGGAGCAGCAGAGCCAAGAGGATTCCTGGCGAGGGGAACTCGTTCGATCCAAACATGCAACCATGAAAAAAACCCTCTGAACCCATCAAAGTCCTTCCGAGAGCAACCCCTGACCTCCAGCGCCACGGATACATCCCAACACATCCCGAATTTCACGTCATGCTGAGCAACGCCACGTCTGCTCCTGCGGAGTCTTTTCATCCTGCGTCAGCGCGCTCCTGAAGAGTTAATCCCCATGAACAGCGATTAACGAGAGCCGAGAGGACCACGAGGAGAGACGCGCTCCCAGCAGCGCGCAGCCCCCAGGAGAAGGCCCCTGGGTAAGATTCGGTGTTGACCCAGCGGACCTCACGTCTACAGGACGGAGGGCACACGGCGCCTCTGAGCCAAGGGCCCATTTCACCCCGCTGGGCTCACGCGTCGCAGTAGGACGGTTCATTTCCCATAGGCTTAATCCCGCATTTAAACGAGACAAATGCTGAATCAGGATTCTAGAAGACCCAGGTCAAGTGGTTCCGGTCACCGATCTACGCAGGAAGATTGCTCGTAAATCCACGGGTTTATGCTGCTCTTGGCAGATACAGAGAAAACCCCTCCCGAAGAGGAGGTACGCAGTACTCGGGTCATGGCTCCGAGGTGGCGAGAGCACGCTTATGGCATCGGGACAGAAATGGGGAAGGTGACCCCCAAGCAAGCGCTAGCAGATGGTGTCACCGGCGAGATTACCTCTGAACTCCAGAAGCAGGGGAGAGAGAGGAGGGGCACAAACCCGGGAGATGCCTACACGCACTCCTCGTAGCCTGAAGGTCGCATTTTTCACAGTGCCTTGAAGCCTCAAGGTCGGACCAAGAGCAGCTTCGTCACCACTAGCAACAGGCGAAGGGCCCGACGGAGGCAGAGCTGCCTGCAGCTCCGGCGACAGGCGCGCCAGCGGGGTTAGGAGACTCCATGCGCCAGCCCACATCAAATCCAAGCCTGTCCAGAGCCAGCAACAGCCACGACGGCTCTTCAGCCGCACCGAGCCAGCCCGTGGTGCTGCCCCGGGCCCTCCACCGGCACGGCCAGCTCTCCCGGGAATTGCTGACTTAGTTCCACTGCTAATAGTGCAACAGCCCACGGAGGCACAGCGTAAGCCTGTATTACTGACCTTAAGCCGTGATTTTCAAGGCTGCCAATTGATTTCTCATGAACACACAAATTCACAAGAATCCCTTTTTGTCAAAAGCAAAAACAAAACAAAAAAAAAAAATGGAGACAGGCTTGTGTTTCTAATCCAAATGTACTTCTCTTTATTCAAACCAGGGGTAATCACTGGTCAGTGCAAAACGCACCTAAACCTTTTGCCTGAGGGAAATCTACATCTTAACAAGGCCTCCGTTAACCCCTAACGAAATCCACAGAGGATTTGAAAGCATTTGAAGCACAGACCCAAGGCTGCGCTCTGTAAGTGACTCTGTGCGTCAACAAGTCTGCACCTGCCTTGTTACCAGCTCCATACTGCCAGGTAACAACAGCAAAATACACTCAGTAGATTTCTTTTAACTCCCAGAGTTTCTGAACCATCCGCCCCACCGCTAACATCAGGAGTAAGGGGGTTGCAGCTTACCCTCACTTCCAACAGTGCTAACGGAAACCCTGTTTTAAATTAAAAAATAAGCCAGCATACATAGTAGAAAATTTCTCTTAAAAATTTCACAATCTGTAAATGTATATATTTTTTTCTTTTAAACATAAAAGTTTACAATATACGGTAAAACAAAGGCTCAGGAAAAATAATTTCAAAAAAAAGAAACCTGAAGTTTTGAATTAAAGCTGAAGACATTTTTAAAACCCTGTAGTTTGAACCAGTGACATTTTCTTTATTTGTGCTGATGGGTTAGAGAAAGGAAAATATTTAAAAACTGCAGTCCAAACACCCACAGCTCTGCCTTCAGAAGCCATCTTCCCCCACCCCCACCCCCCCAAAAAAAAAAAATGTTGTTAGGTTTTTCTTCCATCAAGTATGTGATTGTCACAAGTTCAGAAGTCTGGGATTCCTGGGTTCAGCTGGTACCAGACATCCCTGTGTGGACAGAATTCCCTGATTGCCAGCCCACGCTAGCGCCTGTAGGGGTGAAATCCTTGCACGTTATGGTTCTGTCCTCGTCCAAACCCACTTCCTCCTGCAGGTGGGCCACTTGATGGTTGCACCGAGGGGCCTCCGTAGGGAGGGGGTTGCTGGCTGGGATCAGAGAAGCCTTGTCCAAAACCGCTCAAGTCTTGTCCATACCCTGGGGAGAAGGGGAAGAAGGCAGCCGAGTCAGCTTCTGGTGCCCTCCACACGCACGGCAGAGGCGCAAATTCAAAGCCTGGTGCTGCTCCCTCCCCCCCGCGCACAGCCTCGGGAACAAGCGCCTCGGTCTAACGCATTAAGATAAAAAGCAGCTGCTTTTGGCCTCGCAGTTATCTACCTTCTCCCACAGAAGAAACGGGCAAAAAGCAGAACCGAATAGGTGTGCAGAAAGGGCATTTCCACTCAAGGTAATCCCACCCAGGCTGTCCTTCACCTGTACCTAGTACGGGTGTTCAGAAGTGGAATTGGCTTGCGGGTTTGCTGCCAGCTCATCCTGAATACATTTTTGTTTTGTTTTGGGCTGTTTATTGGCTAAAAGCTAGTACTGTCAGGTTTGGCAGAGATGAAGATGTAGCAAGGAAGTTTTCCCTGACATCTCACAGCTCTTAGAAACTACAGCACCTCCGACGGGCTGCGCAGAGTTATTTGACTCTGGCTTGGTGGAGTCAGCTCCCCTGGATGGCCAAAAGCTTCCTTCGCTGAAAAGACCCACTGGAGAAGACAATCTTAAATTCCCTTTCAAAAAACCCAGAGTGCTGCTGCTTGAACATATCCTTTAATTAACTAATCGGCCTCTCTTTCAAGGAATACTCAATTAAAAAAAATGTAAATTGAAACCTGAGGGGGCAAAGTTGGCAAAGCAGAATCCAAAAGGTTGCGACCACTGCAGCCATTATAAACTTTATCATGGAAGCCTTGGTCCAAAGCTGCTCTCATAAAGAACCAACATCCCTCCCCAAAGCACGGGCAGGCTGGAGTGTTTTTGTTGCAAGTCCAAAAAATAAAGCTCCATGTCAAAACCTGACCCCCTACCGCTACTGTGGACGGTGGTGAGCAGTTCTAACCCCAGCTGAAGGGAAGCAGCAGCCTGGAAGCAGCTGTAACCCCCTTCTCCCACGCCCCCTCACCACCAACTGCAGCTCGGTCAGTTTTAAGCCTGAAGGGGTGCTGCGTCCCAACCAAAGCTTACACTCATGCACGCTGCAAGTTAACAGTTACCTTGTTCTTCCTCCACCTGAGGAACTGAACACCCCTCCTCCCTACCCCACTGTCCTTCTGCCTACCCCGGGAGGCTGCGACCACCGCTCTGCAACATGATCCGTGCCAAAGACCAGATTCAGAATGGGTTTAGAGCAAGCGGAATTTGGGCATAGAGAGCAAGGGTGGAGATGAAAGACTCGCTGGACTTCTTGCTGCCAACGTGAAAGACAACTAGATGTAAATTAAGAACGTTGAGAAATTGAGAAATTTAATAAAAGTTCCTGTAATTAAATACGACTCTTAATTGTAACAGCAGCATCAGCGCAAGCCTCTGCCATGAAAGACGGTATTAAGAAGCCTAATTGCTAAGTACATTTCTGCAGTTCTGCTTCTCTCTGTGCAGGCTTAAAGCAGGTTTAACTCTCTTAATCCAAAACGTCTCTTAGCATGTCTTCAGTATTTCAATTTCAAGCTCTGCCTGACTCTCAGGACTTGCTACTGCTAATGAGCCTTAAAACACATCTATCACAGGCTTCTATGAGCTCAAAAATGCTAATCCAGTCATTTTTTTCAGACCGAGATAAGCAGGCAACCAAAAGTACAATTTAATTGTTTGCCAAGGGGTGAGGCTCAGAGTGGGGGGAAAAAAGAAAAAAAAAAAATGAAGTTATTCTGACTGAACACTGCAGTGTTACAGCATTAAGCGGTGGAAACCACAGCTCTCCATTTGTTTATCACAAAGGACACCTACAGCATAAACCTGAACAGCCAGACATCCAAGCGCTCTCTCTAGGGGAGCTGGGCCGAGCGTTACGGTTTTCCTGGCTTAAGAACCTGAGCTCCGTTTGATTACCCAGGATAAAGCCTCGCCAATGCAGCAGTGTGGGAAGCCAACAGCAGCGTCATTCGTACTTCAGTCGTTGCGAGTTGTTTTTTTTTTTTTCACTTCAGCCGCTAATGAGAGTAAAGAACTGCATCGCCCTTACTCACAACAATAAACAGTTGAGCCGCATTGTTCCCCCCCACCCTCTTAAAAGAGACCCTGCAAGAAACACAGGTTAATTTCCCCAAGGCAGAGATATCAAGAGCATTGGTTGTAAATAGGCACCACCTACCTAGGCTTCTCACTGCTCAGCCTGACCATAAGAGTGTAAACAAAGTATTGGCGCGTAGCCTGAAGGGTCTTGAGAATAGGTACCCAGCCCTAGTAAGAAATGAGGAGACCAGGGTGACGAACCCCAAGACAGCCCTGTACAGAGATAATTTTTCAGGGTGAGGGAGACACACCCATGTTAGTGTTTAATTTACTCGTGCTTACATTCATCCTAGCCGTAAACATAGCAGCATTTAAGATGCTGTCAAGCCAGGACAAATCTTAAAATGCCACAACGATTAGATAACTCAGTGCCTCTTTAAAGCCCATAAGCTTTATGCATTTATGTAAATACATGCAGATCAGCTAGACTGCCTATTATACAACAATGCTGCTAACTAATTTGCGATCACATGAAGTGCTGAAGCTCTTTACAAAAGTTTACAAGATTTTACACACAGCTTTATGAACAGGTGGATGATTCCATGGTACCGCAGCACATTAAATACCTCTATCCCTCTTAGCGCTTGCACTCGTAACAGCTCCCAGGCTAGAAAAGCACTCTAACTGCAGTTGTGGTTTAAACTCCCTCCCTCCCTAGCGTTCTTCCTCAAAATGCAGTATTACACACCTCTTCCTCCCTCCCTCCCCTTAAGACACTAAGAACACCTGAAATATTTCACTGGCAGAAGCCTCCAAGAAAATACAAGAGGCAAGTGGTACCATACACACCAAATACTGGAATCCACCCCTCCCCAGTTTTTCACAGTGTTGGGAAAAAAGGTTCTTCCTAAACTCCCAACACATCCCAAATATTGGCTCCCCACGGGACATAAATGATTGTGCATGGATCGATACTTTACTTAGTAGGGTCCACCCCCCTTCAAAAAGAGTCTGCAAAGAGACAAGTTCTGGCAAGACAAGAAAAACTTCCTCTTGAGTCACAAGGGCAAAGCTATCTATGAAAGCAACTGTGTTTATAACAAACAAATTTAAAAACATTTCAAATTCCTCAACATGAGAACATATTCTTGCTTTATAAACACATCTGAAAGGCTAATCTTCCTTCAGAGTCTGTTTTACATTTTTGGAACTTCAAACAGTATCTGTTTAAATAACTTTACGAAGCATTCGTTTCATAACAGTCTCTGCAGGCACTTTAAATGAAGCAGGCAGGCACTAACATACATGGAGAACGAGTGGGGAACAGTCTTAATCCATGGGCCTACCGCATGCAAAAAGTTCACTTCAGAAGTACAAAATAACCAATTACAATCCCTTAAAAAAAAAAAAAAGCAGCAGTATGCCACAAACAGCTCCTTGGAGAGCACTGCTCAAAACCAGGGCTGAGGGGGAGAGCAAGACGAGAACTCCCTCTCCACTTCCACAGGGAGGAGCGGAGATTTTACTCAGGAGCACAAGCACCCGTCTAGCAATTTTTAACTTTTTTTTTTTGGTAGTACTGTTTGTCTGGCTTAAAACCTGTAACATCAATGTCTTCTATTGGCTGTCTGAAAGAGTTATCTATACAGCGCAATTAAGCATTACACACTTCTGACAGAACTTGAGATAGGCAGGAAAGGAACGGGGGGCGAGGGGGAGGTGAAGGCATGCAGTTTGGGTTCTTACACGCTGTACCGCTTGCCTCTCGATTCTATTCTTACTCTTGAAGTCTGTTCTCCAAACTGATCAAAGTCAGCTACACAAAAAAGCCGACTATGAGCTCCATGAAGCTCTTGGAGAAAAAAAAAAAGTTGTAACTACAGATTCAGGGAGAGTGCAAATCAGTAACTTACCCTAGCAGTGCACAAGTCTCTGAAGACTATCGCACAGCATACAGGCAATGTTTTGGAGATGATTAAGAAAATACCCTCTGGCTAGAATACTGCATGATTTAAGGATCAGTTGAGAGCTGATGGCTGGCATTCCCATCCTGGAGAGAAGTGCCTTCAGTGTTAGCAAACTGTTTCTGAACACTGACTTCCTACCCAAGTATAAAAGAAAGCAGGAAGGGGAGAAAGATCAAGCTGAGTTTATTTTATATGCGGTTACTTACCAAACTGACTATAAGGGAATTCTGGCTGAGCAGTTGGGGGTTTGCTCATGTCCTGAGTTGCCTGAGATGGTGGTGGTGGTGGTGGAAAAGCTAGTGGTGTTGCCCCTGGAGTGGCAGGTGGAGGGGGTACTCCAGGTGGGGCAAACTGGTCAGGTGGAGGAGGTGGAGCACCATAACCAAAACCTGAAACACGAGGAAAGGACAACACATGTGAAAAGACACGTGTAGACACCACACTGACTCCCTGCTTGGTTTCAGAGTACGATAGTTTTTAAAAAAAAAATACTTGTAAGTCTATTAAAATCAAAGTATTACCTACAACTGGCCATACCGTAATTCACTCCTACACTCTGGCAACCAGTGTGGCTAAAAGACCCCGCAATCACACCTTCTCATGTGAAAAACCTCACCCCAAAGACGACTGCAGCCACATCAGCAATGAGAAAGCGATAAAGCAGAACGAGGGACCGAACTCTGTGCGCTCACACATGCACGTGAGAGACGTGAGGAGGAAACCGTATTAGTCAAGATCTTAGGAAGAAAAAAAAAAAATCCCAAACAAACGGGTTCTTTGTAGCAGAACTCCGGATAACTGGGTGCTATTTTCCAACTTCTTTTTTAAGCCAGGTTTGTGACTAGACTTGTCAAAAGGTGACCTGCGGGGGCATGTGCTAAAATCCCATTTACATTTCCAATACCAGTTGTGACCTTAATTCCTTAAGCTTCTCTGAAAATCCCAGCCTGTGTCTAGCCCAGGTCACCAGGCAGTAATCTCTAAATTTTCTCTCAGACGTCATAATAGGGGTACACAATAAATCTAAATTCGTTTAGCAACCCGGGTTTAAACTAGAGAACATAAATGATTACTGCACCCAAGAAAAAAGTAACCCAACTCACTGACAAAAATAAGTACATCATTAATTACAGCTCAGAATACACAATCGGGGCAAAACATCTATGGACAGACAAAAGGTAGGGGAGAAAAATCCAAGTCCAGAGAAAGAGGAGCAGAAGCTGAAAACTGAATTTGGTCAGGGACTGTACCCAACCTCCTGCAGGTCACTTACTAAATGGTGGAGGGGTGCCATAGCCCTGTGGGAATCCTTGTGGAGGCGGGAATCCTCCAGGAGGTGTAGAGACTATGTATGAGGTAAATGGTGGCGGTGGTGGAGGAGCTCCTCTTCCTGGAGGAGGTGGTCCATATCCACCTAGAAAATTAAGAGATGTCAAGAACTAAAGCAGTTCAATAATGAAAAGCTGCTGCTTAAGTCAGCATCCTCTGGATGGGGTAAAGCTGTTTGATAGATTTCAGATGCAGTCTATACATTCTCACTTTGAGAAAATCCAATTCTTACTTTGGGAAATATTTGTCCTCCAAGTATCCCTACTGTACATAATTGCAGTTTAGAACACAGTTCCTTGGTAACAAATCAGTGCGGTCAGCAGCAGCGGGGCGTATGTCAGCTCCCATTACTGATTTGTTAAGAACGCACTATATTCTCCTTTGTTCTTTCAGGACAAATTCAATCAAGCTTTTAAATGTAGGTTAAATACTATGGAAATCCAGAAATCACTGTGAATTCTTAAAGAAACTGCACCTTCGCTCAGTAAAATTTTTCTTTTAAAATTGGTCCCATATAACGTACTTACCAATTGCCTGTCCAGCTGGCACCCACATCCCTAAAACAGAACAAAAAGAAGTGACTTCTACATGCACTGAAGCTCTGTACTATGAAACAGGAAGGATTTAAAAGGGAGTTGATCTTGCTCTGGGCTCTGGAACAGACTGGGTATCCTCCCAGTGTCCCTTAAAGATCTATTTTTATGGTCCAAGAAACAGAATATGCAATTCTGAAAAGCCTCTGAATCATTCAGCAGGTAACGCATGGAAGAGACAGGAGTCCCCAAACTCAAATCGGATGGAGTGTTCAAGAACTGCGAGCGTACCAAGTGCAAGGAACTACACTAGCATAAAGAACAAAAATACGAGAGCCACAGCAGACTACACATCCAAAGCATTTTTAATACACCACCAGGTTTATCCTAGTTATTTTTGAAGTTTTTGAACCATAAAAACATCTTCCGCGCTCGTTGCAGCATTAAGATTGAAACATAAATGCATTTATGTTTTACATTAATCTTTCCAGTAGATCAGATCTCATTTTCTCTACAAATAACCGCGTTGAAAATAATCTAGTTTCTCAATTTGCGCCGTTGCAGATTAGCACATCTGTGCAGAATGTCAAAGCCTCAGCTGCAGCTTTCAAGTTAATAAGCACCATGGGGAAACAAGCAATCCCTCCACTGAGGTATCATCTATTGTAGCAATAGATGAAGCAGTGACACTCCCTTTAGCCCCCCAGGTGAAAATTTCTCATATATCAGAGCAAGCAAGTTCTGTTCTGTCAAACGCAACTCAATTATACCACCACATTTCTCCATAAGTTATCAAAACTGTCTTTGGATGAACTCAGCATATTTATCCTGTCTTCAAAATCTGGTGGGGGTTATAGCCATCAAACCCAAAACACATGGCTGCTCCTTTCAGCCCTGAAGGGCTCAAGCTAAATCAAGAAAATTATATGCAGTAAGTGCTCCCCTGCACCACTGCTAGCCCCATAGCTGCTTGTTATTTTTCCAGGCTACATTAAGCAATAAAATCCAAAGACAAGCCCATCTGTTTTTCTCTCATCCCTTTCAAATTTTACTTATAACTTCCTTTGAAACTGCCTCATCCTTGAAAACCCATATTTCAACAAAATTTTTCATTAAGGTCTCACGCAGGCCACAATCCCACAGCTGGAGTCACAACCTGAGCTGTTGAGCTGTCTCAACACCTCCTCTGCGTTACGGAAAACCACGCCGATTCTATCTGGGGAGAGGCAAAACCGAATCGAGCTGGTGAAGCGCTGCCTGGGACACATGCCAGGCTCGGCACAGCCCACTGACTTCTGCCCTATGAAACAAAATTTTCTGGGAAAAGCAGCCAAGCAACAATCTCAGCAGACTTGGGAGGGACTGAGGTGTGGGATTTTAGTTCTGCTATCGATAACCCAGCACAGCATCGATAAACTCGGGAATGCTGTCACTTGCCAGCCAGACCAAATTAGCAGTAGGCTGCAAGGGCAAGCCTTGTGACAGCGACTCGGGGAGGACTAAAGCAGTACCTTGAGGGCCATATCCTTGTTGCCAGGTCGGAGGGGGCTGACCTGCCCAGCCATTGGCAGCGCTTGGCATGATCCTGCTTCCCCACTGACTGGCACCAGGTGGCCCTGGAGTTTGGCTTTTGCTATCACGAGGTTCTGCGCGTTTCACCTCCACCTAAACAAACAGAGTCACCATTTAGGAGAGATGGCGCAGGTTAATACACCCCCCTTCCCTTCACACACACCCGTAATTACACTTAAGACTACACTTAGCATCTTATGACTTATGTCTAAATACTTAATTATTAAACTTAAGGCCAGTAATTTAAAATGTTTCTCAGGTACAATATATATGATGGTAAGACATTAGAAGTCCTACTGTTGAGGTATTTCAAGTAAAACACATCCTACAAATCACTTGTGTTCCATCATAGCACAGTATTCATCGGCTTTAATCTTAAAACAGCAGTACCCTCTTACAACGGCTCTTCACTTAAAAAAAAAGGCATAATCTTTTAAATTATTTATATACTAATTTAACATTTAAGGCAGGAGTTACAAAGATGACATTTTCAGTAAAACAAGAACTTTGAGTAAAGAGAACGCTCTGAAAAAGGGTACTAATGCTTTAACCATTCAAACATGTTTGGGGTCCATTTGAAAGTTACAGTTTAAACCCACCCCATCTAACTACAATTTCAGCTCTGCTCATACCTGAGAAACACACATTTGTTTGGTTGGTTTTTTGTTTGTTTGTTTTTAAACTTAGATTTTATTTAAATGTCTAATGGAAGATAAAGACTTACCTTCCCCAGGCTAACGCTTAAAGAATCTCAATTAACTCAAACAATGTCAGAGGGAATGGATGTGATAAGAGAATCTTACATTACATCTAACAAAAAAGTAAACAAACATGCAAGTAATAAAAATGGACAGTTGAGTCAATAAGAAGCAAATCTTCATACTGTGTTAAGTCAGTGACAAAAGCCCTCCTGTTCTTAAAATTAGTAAGCCACAGTGCTTAACTTATTTTATTCAAAGATAAAATGTCCTAGTGTTCCAAGCCATCACATAAGTGCATTTGACCTACTTAAAATAAGCTGCACATTCAATATAAACCTCTCAAAAAAAAAAAAATCCAGTTTCTGATTTAATGAAACACTCTCAGCACTCATGCATGCTGAATTAAAGTCTTTTTTTATTTTATGATTAATTTTAATGGGTGCCAGAGTACAAAGAAAATAAATCTCAATCATCAATGGGCCTGAGTAGTATGGAAAATAACGTATTCAGAATTCTTCCTGCCATGTCTTAAAAACCATTCATGTCAGAGAACAAACAGGAAACAGGCACAAGGCAAGGACAAAGCCCCCCGCCCCCCCGCCCGCAGATGCCCCAAGGACATTAGACATGACAGTAACCAAATCTCTGTCAGCTGAGGGCCCTTCCAGAGAGGAACCGAGGGAATTTTTCAAAGGACTCAAATTAATGAGTCTTAACACATTTGCCTTCAGGGAATTCAGTTATTGCTTACAAAAGCAGAGTCCTTCTTGCAATTTTAATTTTTTTTTTTCCCCCCTTTCAACAACATATGGATTCATTTCAGCAATACCTTTTTAATTATCAAAAAGAAAGCGATAAGATCGGAAG